AGAGATTCGTCAGATCCAAGTCGAGAGTATACCTAGGTCTACCAGGATGCGTGGAACGGTTGGATAAATTAGCCGAGGAATTCAAAGTCGCGAACGAACAGGAGAGACAGGTAATTTAATGCTAACAAAATAAGAACAATATTTATTGAAATATTAGATGAACAGGGCATCATTTTTTGAAAAATAAAAGCTTTGGAAATCTTTTTTTTTCCCCGATTAAGAAAGGAGCAATTACATAACATTAAAAAATATTCTTTCGTTTTTTATATTTTCTAATTTTTCTTGTATGTGACTGTGGCCTAGTTTACACCAATATAATTTAATATATATTAAATACTATACTGGCCAATCACAGCCATTCCATTCTTTGGAGAAATGATTATAATTGGTGTAGTAATTAGTATGTATTAAAATATATCGACGTAAACTAGACCTATATCTATAAATTTAATATATAACAATTACTGTGTTATTAACGAAACAAATGGAGCAATAAAATCAAAAATAAAATAACGATTTAGTAACAAAGAGCATTAAATTCTTTTACATGTTCCATTTGATTATGCTAAAATGCTAAAATGTCAGCTTCATAAATATATGAACTTGAACAAAGAATTAAAATAACCACACATTTATTTGCGATATTACTAAATTTTCTCTCTAAAGAAAATGTACCATTTTTTTTTTTTTTTTTAGGAGATATTAAAGAAAGCAAGGATCTTCGAAGAGACTTTGCCAGAAGAGCAACGGGAGGCTGCAAAAATTTATGTGAAGACTATGGAGAAGATCCTAGAAAAAGGAGATGTATTCGTACAAACGGAAGAAACGCGAGTACGGGGGCTTCTTTATAGAGGAAAATTATCTAATCAGAAGAAACGTACGATGGAAGAGAGACGAAACATCCTACAGTCTTTCTCAGCGAGGGATGAACTGTAGAAAACTAATCAAATTTATTAATGATTGTCCAAATGTCGTCTAATAATTTAGTTTCAATTCGAATATCGATTATTTGCTTTGTAGTGGATTATTTGATATATTTCATCTAATTTTATATAAACGTCAATTGGAATATACACATTTGGACGCTATTCAAAATACCAAAGTATTGTTACACATTCCTTATTGAATTTCTCTGTGATGAAGCATTTCTTGATCATATTTTATACAGTACGATATGTAAAACTATTTGCTATTCATATGATTATTTTTTATAGATGCTTTGTTTCTTTATACAGATACATGATGCAAATGCAAGATAAACCAGGCGATAAATATTAAAAATATAGACTTTTTACATCCAAGAATATACCTGTCTACCTGTCAAATTAAATATTTGAATAAATATAATTGTTTAAGCTTTTTGTTACATGAAAAAAAAAAGTAAAAAATTAAAATTTATTGAAAATATTTTCCAAGGAGGAAATATTGTCAGAGAAATCGTAGATTAAGATATTATATTGTTAAGTATGCAACAAGTAAATCAATTTTATATTATAATATACTACTTGTGATTCTTTCAACATACGATTTGATATTCTTAAGACAGACATGGTATGCAATTATTAACTATTAAAAAATGAATGATATAATGCATAAATCATCTTCCTGAATTAAGAAATAAATAAAATTCGGAAGATTTTCTGTTTATACAATTATCGTTGTATTTATTCATTTCCTGTTTCCTCAACAGTCGACACACACGTTCTCTCACATACACTCTATCCAGTACAAACACAATTTTGTATCGATTTTAAAATGGTCTCAGTTTAAAAAAATCACAGATAATATCTAACATTCATATAAATACAGTTTTATCGCGTAACTTGGAAATTTATTCAGCTTTTCTATAACATTGCTAAAAAATGTACTTACATATTTATCAATGCTCAAATAATGAAACTTTAATGGCATGATATGCACATCTGCGTACATAAAATCGGAATGTGACATTTGATAATAAACTCCGTGTTATTCGTGTCTCCAGATATATATATATATATATATATATATATATATATATATATATATATATATATATATATATATATATATATATATATATATATATATATATATATATATATATATATATATATATATATATATATATATATATATATATATATATATATATATATATATATATATATATATATATATATATATATATATATATATATATATATATATATATATCTAGAGACACAAATAACAC